GTTTGGAGTTTAGGGGTTCAGGTTTTGAGCGCTTCGCTGGTTTAGGGTTTGGGCTTTTGGGTGTAGGGTTTAGGGTTTGGTGTTTAAGGGCGATAAAGTCATGAAGGCTTCCCTTTCCTATGTTTTTCACAGGAATGAAGCAACAAAGGTTTGTCGTTTCCATCTGATGCCCTTGTTTCCTACTCCTACACCCCAAACCCTGAACCCTAAACCCAAAACCCTAAACCCCACACCGTAGCCTTCCAAACTCCGCACCCTAAACCCATAACCCAAAAGCCCTGACTGCAAAACCCGAGCCCCCGAACCCTAAGCCCACAAGCCCAAAAAGAGCTCGCAAAACGACCGTAAACCCTATACCTTTATGGAGCCCTCTAGACCCCTTATTAAGGAACACCAAAAAGGAATAAAACAAAACCTTAGACCCTGAACCGTAGCCCCGAGCCCCTACACCCTAAACCCTACAGCAGAAGCCCAAAAGTTGGAAACCCAATAGCCTCTATCCTTAAGAGTAATGTATAGGGAATCCCAGCACTAATTGTCCGTTTTCCAACTTTTGCGGGTTTACTGTCAACCCTTGGCACAAAACTTAAACCCTAAACCCTAAACCCTAAACCATAAAACCCTAAACCCTAAACCCTAAACCCTTGGCACAAAAATGACAGGACTTGGTCTGCAGGCCGGCGACGCCTTGACGGTGCAGGAGAGTGGGGTTCCCCTAAGGGTCCCTTAAAGGCTCCTTGAAGGGATCTACAGGCTCCACGAGGGTTTAGGGATTTAGAGGGGTCTAGGGTTTAGGGGTTTGGGGTTTGGTGATTTGGGGCCGCAGCACCCCTTGTCTGAAGAGAGGGAACCTTCAGCCCAAACGTGAGGGACCGGACTGCGTAATAAGGATATCCTCCTTCTTCGTCCCGGGATAGCAGCCATAGTAGGATACATTCGGCCAAAACTCTTCGAATTACAAAGGCTATTGAGGCCCCAGTATCATTGGCTCCAGCTTGTCGTATTCGCCTGGCCCATTACAAGTGTAGTCATCCAGCATGTTGGCCCTTTCTACACATTTTTTCGACGACTCACGGAATGCGTCGACAAGCCGCTGTAAGCGAAGCTTGCAATCCTTCACGTTGCAAGCCCACGAACCCTCAATTATCCGCATGAAACCAAAAATTGCCCTGAGTCACCCTATTCAAACCGATAAACCCTATCTCGCCCTTCTAAATCTGTTGTGGAGCTTTTACTCGGTCTCAGTCAGAACTGGAATAGGGTTCTATGAGAGTATAGTCATATCAAGAACCCTAAGGAAGGTGATCAGTTTCTGTTCAGGCCTCTAAGTTCATACGACTAGGACGAACGGCCCACCTGCGAGCCGTAAACCCCAAATCCCCACATAAATCCGCAAACAGGGCCAGACCTAAGCCCTAAACCCTGACAATCTAAACCCTTAACACCAAACCCCAGACCCCAAACCCCAAGCGCTGAACTCCCGAATCTTTATTAGAGCCCGTAAGAACCCATACATCGGTTACAAGCGCCCCCAAAGGAACCCTTCAAGGGACCCCAAACCCTAAACCCTAAACCCTAAGCCCTAAACCCTAAACCCTAAACCCCAAACCCCAGACCCTAAACCCTAAACCCTAAACCCTAAACCCTAAACCCCTTCAAGGAACCCCAAACCCAGAACCTCTCAGGAGCTCTGCGGGCAGACGGAGATCTTAGCCGGCTTGCCTTCACAGGCTCCGAGCTCCGAACCGGGCGATCGGGGTTTTAGGGTTTAGGGCTTTA